CGCTCTTCCCAAAGGTATCGATGTGCCTGGATGTTGTCACCGGTGAACATTGATTTTTGCCTGACACAATTTAAGGCATAATTTTTCTAATCATGGTTTCAATTTGTACTTCGTCATCACGCAGCACAAAACACTGTGAACACTAAATTGGACTTCCAAAACTTTTAAACCTTGATTTCAGCGATCAGGTTTGTTAAATGCTGTTTCCAAAGTTGGAAGCTGAAAAATCCTTTGCTCTAAAGCTTGATTAAATTTAAATCGCTGGGATGCAAACATGAAGTGCCCAATGCCTATAAGCAACCCTAGTGCAAGAGCAGAGCATTACAACAAAGGATGGGAAAAGTAACACCCAGATCAAGAGAACTGTTCAAAGATCTGTTTGTGCCATCTCTGTAAGGGCTGAGAACGCCGTTTTGCCAAGCTGAGTGACTCCACACTGAGAAAACAAGGCATTATGTTGTTTATATTAAATAGCAAATGCCAAAAGTTACAAACTTGAATAAATGCCTTTCTTGCTTGAAAGGGAGCTTCAAAACAATTCACACTTGCATGATGCACATTTTACTTCCAGGGATTACCTCCTCTCCTAAAATGACTTGGAGAGCCTAGGTGGCTCCACACCAAAGCCGTACATCTATCATGAGCTTTTTTTTTTAACATTAATTGTATGTTATAAGGCTTGAGAAACACCAGACAGGGCGAAGGCAGAGCACCACCTCTAACAGACCATGGCCAACGTTCAGCACAACCCTGTTCTCTCCTGAACTGGGGCTGAGGAGCAGCAAAGCTCATTTACCAAGAAATGACACCAATTTCATGTTCTAAAGCAGAACTGTGAAAGGCATTATCCATATTCTGTGTAGGTGTTAAATGCAGTCTTCAGGAGTCTCTTCCCCCAACCCTTCCATCATCACTTCCCATTTCTCCCTTCATCCAGCCTCACGTAACCGTCACCTTCCTATCACCCGCATTTTGGTTTCCCCATAGAGGTCAGGACTAGGAAAATTCAACAAGGCCAAGTGCAAGGTCCTGCACCTGGGTAGGGTTGATCCCAAACACAAATCCAGGCTGGGCAGAGAATGGCTCAGAGCAGCTCCAAGGAGAAGGACCTGGGGGTGTTGGTCAATGAAGAACTCAACATGAGCCAAAAATGTGTGCTTGCAGCCCAGAAACCAACCCCATCCTGGGCTGCAGCACAAGAAGTGTGGGCAGCACGGCCAGGGGTGATTCTGCCCCTCTGCTCTGCTCTCCTCAGACCCCACCTGCAGTGCTGCGTCCAGTTTGGACTCCCCAGCACAAAAAGGACATTGAAGTCCTGGAGCGGGTCCAGAGGAGGCCACAGAGATGCTCAGGGGCTGGAGCACCTCCCCTATGGGGACCATATGAGAGAGTTGGGGTTGTTCAGCCTGGAGAAGAGAAGGCTCCGGGGGAACCTTATAGCAACCTTCCAGTTCCTGAAGGGTCCTACAGGAAAGGTGAGGAGGGACTTTGTACAAGGGCAGGTAGTGATAGAACGAGGGGGAATGGATTTAAACTGGAAGAGAGGAGATTTAGACTGGATATGAGGAAGAAATCCTTCCCTGTGAGGTGCTGAGGCCCTGGCCCAGGGTGCCCAGAGAAGCTGTGGGTGCCCCCTCCCTGGCAGTGCCCAAGGCCAGGTTGGACGGGGCTGGGAGCAGCCTGGGCTGGGGGAGCTGTGACCCCATGGGGGTTGGATCAGATGAGCTTTAGGGTCCATTCAAACCTAAACCAGTCTCTGATTCTATGAAAATACCTTCTGGAAGAAAAAGGAAAACATGTGTGTGTTAAAAGTGAAACAGCTACTCCAAGGATGAGGGAAAACACCAG